GGTTGTGTAGAAAGACTATTTTGTCACATATCTCAAATGTACGTCCGCCCTCTCCACACCGGAGCGATATAGATCACCAGACTGAACTTAATGTGCTGAGCCTCCTGGTTGAGGGCTATAGTTTTCGACTGCAAGGCCGCGCCGCGAACGCATGCCTGAGTGACCAGAGAAGTGCACATCTCATGACTGAGGAATGAGTTATTTAGCAAAATCTGGCTTTCAGCCGTGATCTTTCAGCAACTTCGTTTTCGCCGCCATGCTGGTTATTCTTGCGTTTGCTCCCTCGAAGTTGTTGGCTTTTTACGAGGACGACAACCTCAGACTGGCTGTCGGTGACTGGATCCTCATGATCTGGTGCATTTTTGCCAGTCTGGCTATCCAAGTAAATTTTTAGAACCATTACTTTCTCACATAGCTGTTAGTGACAATAAGTGAAAAAGTAGCAGTTGTCTCATTAGGGTCTCGAGACACAGTTCACTCTTCTGATATGGGCGGAGATAGTCAACCATTTCGTCTTCTTCACTGATGTGTCACCCTCCTTTTCGTAAGACCATGACGAAAAAAGGGTGCACCAGTAGGGGAGGCACCGTGGTTGACCGTTTCCTCCTATACATCGTCGTGGACTGTGTCTGTAAATCATCCCGAATTCCAAAGGTTCCAGGTAATATGGACGAATGTATTCACTCGTGTCAGTGAGCGTGCATACACAGCTGGCCCACTGTTTGGCGAACCCGGCTATGAAGAACGAATTCTTGAAGTGAGTTGATGAAATGCCTGATTTTGGAGTGAGATCGTGCAGCACGCAATTGAGCCCCGGTTTTGAGGGCCCTTTGAGAAGATGGGATCGCGGGCTTCCTGTCAGGGCAGGCAACCTAACGGCCGCCAGTATGACCCCCTCCCCCTCGAAATTCTTCAACGGCGCGAACCCACTCCCTAAGCTTCCTACCATCTTCCTACCAGCTCCAGCAATTTTTCTACTCTCTAAAACTTTTTTCCCACTATTCCTGAAATAGTTCAGTTTTCCCTCAAAAACTAATGGAGTTTTGGGGGCCAGCCGGGTTGGGGCGGTACCAGATGTCATCAACACCACTGCTAATTTCACACAATCAGAAATGAGGCAGTACTGTAGTTCTGTAAGCGCCATCCAGCTGGGCATGTTACGACCCCTCTCCTCGACCAAGTCGGAACCCCCCTTGATGTTATTCACATCAGGGCGATGCTTACGCCTTCGTAATGTTACCTAAACCGATTCGACGGCAGGGTTACCGTAAGCCGGCCACTGCTTTTTTGATTGGCGAACGATGAATTCTGAGACAATATACTACAACTAAAGCGATTCGCTTGCTGGGTATTAAAGAGGATGCTTAGCATTGAAGGGATGCTTGGGGTTCAGAAATCCCACTTACATTTCAGGAAGAAGCAGAGAAGGCGGCTAAGCAACGAGAGACGTTTGTGCTACTGTTCCGTTTACTTGGCTATATGGCAAGAGAATGGAAGTACTACGGGATGGCATTCACGTTTTTATTTTGTTATTCACTCAGTAAGTTTGGAACGAAAGATAATTAATAGCCTACATAATCCCTTATAAGAAAACTCAGCGATGCTCTGAGCCTCTTTGAAAGCTTAACTGACCCCGATATGACTCTAGTGATTTAAGCAAGCACCTTTTAGGTCGTGTGTTTATTCCTTACTACACTGGCCAGGTGGTGTCGGCTGTATATGGTGAAGGGGCCTCCTACGAACGACTTCATCGAACAGTTGGCATCATGGCCTTGCTCTCACTTGGCTGGTGAGTCACTTTCGGTGAGCTTTGAGTTGCTCGAATCTCTTGTATTCAGCTGAAAAAAGCGAAAAGTGAAAAAAATGAAATAAATAACGTCCAAGAACATCAATGGGTTAGAAGCAACTCAAGCTTCTCGAAAAGATAGTGAGTACAGTAACACGCACAAAACTTCATTGGAACATAAATAACCAAAATCGATTTGAAAGCTGAATCGGCGACTGACGATGGTCCAACGATTAAAGGCACGGTCCGCGATCAGGTATAGAAGTTGAAAATATGGCGTCGGGAGGTAGTGTGGTCCGCGACGAACAACCTTGTACCGGTTTCGCGGCAAAAAATTGTAAGGGAGGGGCGCTATAGCGCAATATAGGTTCAGTGACGCCTCCTTTTTCCAGTGACTCCGCCTCCAGACTCCGCCTTCAAGGCCCGCCTTTCAGTGAAAAACGAAGCTGCAGGACGAAAAAGCATGAAAATCGTCACTTGTACGGTCGTAGAGTTCTTATCGGGGAATCAGCTGTGCGGATGAAGGCGTAGTGTTGGAGATAGGAGTTAACTGGGCACGTACAAACCGGGATCGGGATGGGGTTCTATTTACGACACTGAGCATGTTTTTGTTCTGCTTTTTCTGGATTATCGAGTTACTCAGCACCCTGTCGTCTATATGGGAACCACTAATCCAATATAGCGAATGATCGCGGGCTTTGACTTTGGCGTTGAAGCGCTGTCAGTCACCATCGCGCGATCCCGAATCGCGCGGCAGGTTCGCCGAATTCGCAAAGTATGGATGCGGTTTTGAACCCCAGTTTCTTTTAGTGCTGTATTCGGAGGCCTGCGAGGAGGTTCGTTCACTTATGCTCATGCCACTATTGATCGTCAGATCAGAAACGACCTCTTCAGAGCGGTCACTAAGCAGGAAATCGGATTCTTCGACGCCAACAAAACAGGTACGTCTAGAGGAACATGTCGGTCAGGAAGTCCACGTTGCGGTGTAGCCACGGCACGTTCGTAAGGGGGGGAGGGGGGGGGGGATCCGCATCGAAGGGGTTACATTTGATGGCTGGGAGGGGTCCTATTCTGCAATTTTCCCCCAACGGCAAGACCTGCCCTTGGCGCAACCTAGCAGTGGTGCTCCTACTGTGCTCGTGGCGGTACTTGTCGCCACTTCGTGGACCTTCTAATGAATGCCCAAGAGCGAAAGTTTGATGAGATCAGGGAAGAATTTGGTTAGACCCTTTTTCAGGAGAAATCTGCTCACGACTCACGGCTGATTGTCAGACAATGTCGAATACCTTGTCACTTTATATATGAACGTCTTAACAAGGTCACCTCATTGGCTATGATTTCTCTCCTTTTTAGTGGACTACGAAGTAGCCCACGTCCTAACACAAGATTTGCCCCACTTAGCAGCTTTTTTTTGCAGGAACGTGACCATGTTGATCGGCTCTCTGATTTTTATGACGACATTGTCATGGCGGTTGTCGATGATTACACTTATTACCGTACCACTCATGTTCTTATTGAACAAAATATTCGGTGTTTGGTATGACGTGAGTTGTTTAGACCGTGGGTTAAATTTCAGGAAGATTGACATGGTTTTGAAAGAATACGCCCGAATTTAAACACGTATCTTTTCTTCTAGAGCTTTCGAGAGCCACTGTATAAAGGATAAAGCTCCATAGACGAAGCACTAGAGACATAGCCCACGCTGATGGTATGGGCGGCGACAGTCAACCACTGTGCCTTTCTCATTGGTGCGCTCCAGTCCTGAAACGGTGAATAGCGCGCAGCGCGCTAAGTTCCTCTTCCTCGCCGCTCATAACTTGGCGAAGACTGTCTCTTTGAGTTACGAGTCCTTCGAAGTAACCGAGATAACACGACTTTTTGCAGAAATTGTCAGAAGAAACGCAGAATTCCATTGCACAAGCTAACGATGTTGCCGAGGAAGTGCTTTCAGCCATTCGCACCGTGAAAAGTTTCGCATGCGAACGATATGAGGGTTACAGGTAGGAGAATTTCAAGCAGACATTCAGGCCTCATAAGAATCACGGGATAGCACGAGTCATAAGGTCATGAGGTCCAAATAACCCATTTCAATCTGATCTTCCGGATTATGCCGCGTATTCCACTTTCGCTCATTCTCAGAATTGTAGATTCAGTGAGATG